GAACATCAGCAGGAGAGGACTCTTTAAAGTAGAGACACTACATACTGATATACACCTGAACATCAGCAGGAGAGGACTCTTTAAAGTAGAGACACTCCATACTGATATACACCTGCACATCAGCAGGAGAGGACTCTTTAAAGTAGAGACACTACATACTGATATACACCTGAACATCAGCAGGAGAGGACTCTTTAAAGTAGAGACACTCCATACTGATATACACCTGAACATCAGCAGGAGAGGACTCTTTAAAGTAGAGACACTACATACTGATATACACCTGAACATCAGCAGGAGGGGACTCTTTAAAGTAGAGACACTACATACTGATATACACCTGAACATCAGCAGGAGAGGACTCTTTAAAGTAGAGACACTACATACTGATATACACCTGAACATCAGCAGGAGAGGACTCTTTAAAGTTCTATCTTTTTGTCGTTCTGAACACAAAGACTTCTGTTTACTTTCCGTTTGTACGAACAACCCTGTTATTTGAATGAATATTTCATCACGTCAGGCTTTTTGTCCGGCCTGCAGGTCTAGCCGTTCGGAGCAGACTGCAGACCTTTGAACTTGAACTTTAGTTCATTCTTAATAATACCCTGCCCTTTGCTTCTGCCTCAGAGAACAGACATCATTGCTGCTCGACCACAATGTGTTGCGTCCTCTGGAAAACACTTATTTTATTGTCAGGACAGTTTATTAAAGTGTTTCTCCTTTGTTTCAGTGTTTCTTTCAGTTAGCAGACGATGCAGTAAGATGCATTTAATAAAAAACCTTTCAGCCAGTGTAATAGCTGAATAACCATCAGCGCAGTTTGCAACTTCAACTTCTAAGGAAAGCCATTATTACAAAGAGCCAGAGGAAGCACTTTATATTCTCCATCAGGCTATTAATTAGCATATTTGTCTTCTTATCGTCTCGCAGTTTTCTGCAGAGGTTATCGGTGGATCCATCAATATGTCTGCCTCGGTTCATCTTACCCACCTTTCTGTCTCTTTATGTTACTCACTGTCACCACCTTTCATTTACCTGTCTCTTCCTCTGCCCTTTAAAGTGACTTCCTCCATCTTTGAGACATATTTCTGTCTTCTAGTGCTGCAAAAAAAAATTCTAAATGTTGTCAAAATCACAGTTTGGACTAGTGCAATATCCAAAAACAATACACAAGACATGATGAAGACTCAGGCTCATGGTAAAGACATGTTACCTGTTTCCTTCTCGAGATTTCAGTGGGAATAGCCATTGTTCCAACCACCATGCTAGCCAGCTTTAGCGCGATTAGCTTCTACCTGGTAGCTACTGTCACTACCCGATCTGCAGCCCTGCCCGATCTGCAGTGCGCATGTGCGAGATGGTCCGACATATTGGAGAACTCCGGACGGCAACCCAAGAAGGACACTTGACACAGTGGCTTTTGGCAAAGCTCAAAAAGAAAACTCGAGAGAGATGAGTTATTGTTATACAACGTGACTTCATTATTATTTAACAACTCTTTTTATTGGGTTCTTTTATTTGGGGTTAAGTACATTGTCAGAATAAGTGAGAAAAGGATTTAACTTCTGTTAGACAGCTATATGCCATACATTTTGCATACATTCACAGTAAATATGTATTCAGTATGATAGCTGTCTAACAGAAGTTAAATTCATTTCTCACTTATTCCGACAATGTACTTAAACCCAAATAAAAGAACCCAATAAAAAGAGTTGTTAAATAATAGTGAAGTCACGTTGTAATAACAATAACTCAGCTCACTCGAGTTTTATTTTTGAGCTTTGCCAAAAGCCACTGTGTCAAGTGTCCTTCTTGGGTTGCCGTCCGGAGTTGTCCAATATGGCGGACCATCTCGCACATGCGCACTGCAGATCGGGCAGGGCTGCAGATCGGGTAGTGACAGCTACAAGGCAGCTACGGTGACTTAATGGCAAGAAAACTAAAACTAAATCTCTCTCTACAAGAAAGCTTAGAGAGGGCACAGCTTAATAGGTTACTAATATAATTTATTAACAGAAAAACAACAAGTAAGATCAAATAAGAAAGGTGGAAGTTGAAAATAGTACAAGTCTAGCAGGAGAAACTGCAACAGACTGCATGCACGGTTGGCTCATGCACTAGAATTAAAAAAAATAGCAATGCGATGTCATTGAAATGTCAAAATTGCCATTAGTTGCCACTGTAGGAAACTCTTTAGTTCCTGTGAGTGCTGCAGCTTTTAAACAGTAATTGCCCAAACACCACAAGGTACAATCAGTAGTTTTGGGGTCAGGTTTCAGTAACAGTTAATAGAAATGGATGCTGACAGCTGGAAGGAGACAGGATGCTTTCAGATGCTTGACTACGACCTCTGCAGAACTAAAACAACGTCACCTTTGCGTCCATCTTTGCACCGTCAGATCAGAAGGTGCTGGAATGATTGAGTCATTTGGTTTGTCTGACACATCCATGTGACACAGCTGATCGTTATTCATCTCGACCTCCAACCACGTTCCCAACTCTTTACGCCAGAGTGTAATTGGATTAGCAGAGGGTGAAAAAGCAACTCCTGGTGGCTGATAAACACATGAGAGGGAATTCACTGGAGGAGCAGGTCATCTCTCTCTCCTTCTGTCTCTTTTTTTCTCTAAATCTCCTAATTTGCTCAGCGTTTTCCCAGCCCGACTGTGCTCACGGTGATTACAACTCATTAAACACCCTTCACGCACTTGTCTGGCTGGAATAAAAAAGATTTTGGCTTAATCCAAAAGATATTGAGCAAGTAGCCATGGCTGGAGGGACGGGGAATAGGCGGTGTATGTGTTCAGGGGGTGTGGAACAATGAGGAGGATTTATGTAAAGCAGAAGCTGGCTGGAGGCATTATGCAGGAGGTAATAAGCTGAGGCTAATTATTGCAAGTGAAAGTAGATCCAGATGAGAAATGCATTTGAGACGATTTCCCTCGTTGGTGTAATGATTTTTCCGTCTGATAGAGCGATATAATGCACGCCCTCCACCTCCTGCTCTGAAACCCCTGAGGTGATTGCATCCGGCCTGACAGCAGGGGTGCAGTTGGAGGTGATCAGGATTCAGGTGCATCATTCATCCTGTGGTAAACAGTGGAGCTCAGCACTTTGCAGCAGCTTTTCTCCGAGCATCTCTCTTGGGTCGGATCCAAAAGCTCTTGTTGAACCAATTACTGAAACACATCTCACACAAGTGAATGCTTGGATGGATGTTGTATTCATGTGGTGCCATTTGTTTGTCTCTTTAAAGGTCAAACTGCAGGACATAATGAGCTTAAGACTGACTCAACTCATTAACATGCACCCTTTGCTGCTTTGTGGAACAGATCTCAGCCAGGAATGGTTTTGTTGGGACAGAGAATGGATTGTAATTCTGCGTTTAAAGACACATGATATGTAAGTCTTACGATGTAAATTAATCGTGGATGTGCATCAGGATCCAAATCGGCCACACATGTTTAAAAACCGGTTTATCAGTGTCTTCTAAAACCGTTATTAGCATTAGTACATCAATGATAAATATAAGAAGGACTGTAAGGACCTCTCGTCCAAGTTTGCTTTAAAACTAACACTGAAAGACTGAAAACAAATCTCTCTGCAAGCACGTTTAGAAAGGACACAGCCTGATGAGTTACTAAAACACAAAAACACAGCAAGTAAGATCAAATAAGAAAGGTGGAAGTTGACAAATCTAGCAGGAGAAGCTGCAACAGGCTGCATGCACGGTTGGCGCATATTCACTAGAACAGTGGTTCCCAACATGGGGGGCGCCAAAGATCGCAGGGGGGGCGCCAGGCCTCAGAGGATTTGAGGCCAAATATCATATTTAGACTTTTTTTTTTTTTTTTTTATTATACATATAATTGTAAGGCAATGCATGATTGTCACTAAAAGCCTTGTCTCTACATTACAATAAAATATAAAAAATAATTGATTCATTAATTTGAATAACAATTCAAGTTAGTATTAAAGGCATAAAAAGACAGAAATGTATAATTCTTTCTATAGAAATGTTTCTTCTGCTCGTAAAGTGTCCAAACCAGGCTTTTCTGGATAAGCGCATTTTAAAACATAGTCATTGTCCATGCCGGTTTCAGTTGCATTATTTGTCAGTTGCTCCGATCAGATCGGTCTCCTCCATTTTGTAGATTATTTACGACTTTTGAATCCACATAAACACATCGGCAAAATCCGGCTGACTTTGAGCACGTGTTTGAAACAGTTTAATCCCTTTGTGAATTGTTTCCACTTCCGCCGTCCTTTAATTTCTTCATACAGCGAGAATCCAAATGAATGAATCCTGAGTCCAATAACCATCAAAGTCACTCCAACAGTGCTCCTTGATTACGCTTTCATCCTCCTTTAACAACATACTTCACATTCATCCAGTTTGTGACAGTAGTTGGAGCATTTTGAGACTTTTAAACTTTAATTACCGCTGTTGAGCCTGGACTAGAATAATAGAAATAGCAAATAGCTATTTCAGAATCACAATTAGTTATTTATTCCAAATCGTCCAGCCCTAGTGTCTTTTTGTGTATCCTGTTTTGCAACCACATTGTGTCTGCCTGTAGGAAAGTCTTTACGTCCTGCGAGAAAGTGCAGCTTTTAAACAGTAATTGCCCAAACACCACAAGGTACAATCAGTAGTTTTGGGGTCAGGTTTCAGTAACAGTTAATAGAAATGGATGCTGACAGCTGGAAGGAGACAGGATGCTTTCAGATGCTTGACTACGACCTCTGCAGAACTAAAACAACGTCACCTTTGCGTCCATCTTTGCACCGTCAGATCAGAAGGTGCTGGAATGATTGAGTCATTTGGTTTGTCTGACACATCCATGTGACACAGCTGATCGTCATGTTATGATTCATCTCGACCTCCAACCACGTTCCCGTCACGTTTTCCATTCTGTTCTCCTCTCCCCGTGTTATTTACACTCTCTCTGTGATTCTGCAGCCAATGAATGGTTGTTCTTCCTCTCTCTCCTCAGCTCTGCTTCTTCTCTATGACGTTACCAACAAAGCATCCTTCGACAACATCCGGGTAAGAACAAACACACTCTCTTACAGTCTGACGGCCACTCTTCCCCCACTCTGACCTGAAATAACTGCTTTCTCGTCAAGTTTCAACCCCCAAAAAGTGTTTTCTGTAATAATTAGCAGTTATTTTGTCCGATTACAATGAAATATTAGTCAGTTAATGAAAACCAATTACTATTAATTGCATTAAAACAGGTGGATAACTTGGTGAATTGATACAAAACTACTTGTTTAGGTTTAGGAAATGATGGTTTGATTATGGTTTGGGTTATAATAAGGATATATATTAGGTATCTTTGGTATAAGCATCAATTGCATCAGTGAGTATGGAGAACTTACATGTGTTAAAAGTACTTATCGGTGCATTTCTTTCGTCATTTAAGGCTATGTTTCTTTAACCCTTTAAGACAAATAACACTTGTTTCTCCTCCATTCAAAATGTGTGCTGTCTTTGTGTGCGGACAAATCTTTTCTCAAAGCGTCATTATTTCGTTTCTTGGTGCATGCTGTTTAGCAAAAAAGTGTTCGGGACAAAACCTGACATTTGTATAAGCAGTGGGTTTATGTCCCCAGACTAAATGACACCTTAGGAAGTGGAACACGTTCCCTTTAGCTGAACAAAGCATTAGTTTGAATAGTGCTCTCTTTCCCTCTGAATATGCCGCAGAATATAAAAGTGGACCTTGCAGAGCTATGATGGTAAATGATGAGTTGAGTGAGTCTCAATGACCACAGTGGCAACACATGATTGGATAAGAGCTCACCTTCCCCCCAAATGGAGCCGTCTTTGTTCTCAAAGTGTGACTCTCCTCTGAGCAAGTCCTGCTGTCATTTATCGACCATCTGCAGGTCAGTACAGTCTCTGCTTTGATTCAATCACAACAGAGTTAAGAGCAGAATATGGCCATTATAAAAGTGTGTGTGTGTGTGTGTGTGTGTGTGTGTGTGTGTGTGTGTGTGTGTGTGTGTGTGTGTGTGTGTGTGTGTGTGTGTGTGTGTGTGTGTGTGTGTGTGTGTGTGTGTGTGTGTGTGTGTGTGTGTGACGGGGCTCTAATTGTCCGTTCACAAACACTGGCCTAGTCTGTTGGGTTACGCTCCAAAACTTTATTAATAACAAACAAAATAACGAACCAGCACAAGTTAGACAACAAAATAAAAGTCCACAAACAGGCCGTCCATCACTCATCAGAGTAAACATGCTCTGGGTTGCCTTCTCTGCAACCAACTCCCAAACACGTCCCAACTGTTGCCTTCATTGCAACATTCTTCCGAGTGACACAGTCCGACAAATACAAGGAACCAACACCGTCCCTTTTGAGCCCATAGCCCCTCCCACAGGCTCACCGTCAGCAGGTGACACAATCAACTCAAAACCACATCTCAACAAAAGAATCCGACCCAAACATAAACAGATTAACCGCCTCTTAACACAATCATTCCCCATAATTAACAAACGTAAAATAAATAAGAAATTGCATGGTTCAGCAGCAGGAAATGTGTGGTGTGTGTGTGTGGTGTGTGTGTGTGTGTGTCGGCTGTCAGTGGCGGAGTCAGTCACTCTGTCACCTGCTCCGTCACAGTGTGTGTGTGTGTGTGTGTGTGTGTGTGTGTGTGTGTGTGTCACCACTACCGATAGACTGTGGAGGATTTGAATTGTGAAATCTGAAAACTGGACCTGAGGATTGAGCTTGAGAGGCGATGTATAGATGGAGCACCTGCAGCACGTTCTTGGTTTGCTGATCGATTTTTAACCTAATTTTGAATCATGAAGCAGCAGCACTCTCTGTCGTCTCTGTGTTTCTCTTCACCTTTCATCAATGAATCTTCCTTATCCTGACATGTTCTCCTCCAATGTATTTCATCGTGTTTCTTTATTACAAGTAGGATTAATAAGAGATGTCCTGGATAATGATATGCTTTCACCGTCGACATTGAGTTGTCAGTTTATTTGTGAGGTTGAAATAAGGAGTCTTCGATATGTTAAAAGAATAAATCTCCACTGCTCAAAAACTGCTATAATTGTTATTTTTCATCTTGAACGTTGACATTTTGATTTACTGAATATCGTCTTGTCATTGTTTGGTGAGTAATCGATCGGAGAATCTCTGGGAATCCTTTCCTGCATGTAATACTCATCTAATAATCCACATTGCTGCATTAAAAAGCAAATGTATGAGAATGTTTGCGTATAAGAAAAAAGTATTGGCAAAGACAAATGGCTCCAGAGCAGTGATGGTGTGTGTGTGTGTGTGTGTGTGTGTGTGTGTGTGTGTGTGTGTGTGTGTGTGTGACAGTCTGGGCAGTAATCCCTTTGGAGAGGTGACAGAGCACACCTGTTCAGTAGTTAAACCTGTGAGACACACACACACACACACACACACACACACACACACACACACAGACTAACATGTAAAAGCAATTTGAGCTTCTTAATGGCAATCAATTCTACTAACAACCCGACTGCAGGGTCTGAGACACTCATCCGTAGATTATGGAAGGTGCACACACACTTTCTTTTAGGTACATTGTGTTCTGTGATGCTTGGTTTCACCTGATTGATTTATTGAACGTCTTATCAGGTGCTGCAGCAGAGCAACAATCCACAGAGCGCTGACGTTCTGGTTTCAAGATGTACTGCCTGTTGTGCTGTTCTCCAGCCACCAATATCCTCAGTGTGTGAAGCGTTACACACCTTTCCAAAAGCCAAACATGTTGTGATATAATCAACTCCCCACACATCACACAACTTCTACCTAATCACAGTTTTAGGGACACTTGTCATTTACTTGGTATTTCAATGAAATGCTACCTTTATACCCGTAAAGGTAAATATACTTTAACTTACTCCACTACTTAAGTTCCACAGCTAACTGGTTAACTCATAGGATAACGTTTTTAAATAGTCCTCGGACATGTAATGAATTTAGTGAAAATATCTGACATACTTTCAGATACAAAAGTGCGTCTTAAAGGAAGCCAAAGCTGACATTATGATAGTAGAGATTTCAAATAAAGCAAAACCCTGCATTTAACCGTTTTTAGGTTTATGTTAAAGGTCACGGCCATTCCTACTGACCATAGTTCCATAGTTGAGGTCGACTAGAATAGATTTACTTTGTTCAATGTTCCAAACTCACATTGGTTTCTCACAGCATCTCTGTATAGTATGTGTATTCACTCTCTGTCCTACACGGCTTGTTGGAGCTCCTGCCCCCCCCCCCCCCCCTTCTCTGTGAGACAGCGAGACACAGCCCGAACACACACACCGACTCACAGCCTCGCCGCGTCCCCCCGTCTCAGGGAGGAGAAATCGGTCGGAGCTGCAGCTGAGAAAAGATTGAGTGTGTGTGAGGAAGTCCATGGATTGGTCAATTTGGACCAATCCATGGACGTAACGTAACAGCTCCACGGATTGGTCCATTTGGGTATGGGCATGTCACTGTACCCAGGAAGAAAATGAGAAATCCCCAACGAGGCGTTCTGGGGCAGCACAGACAGGTCTTCTCTGTGTTAGAGTTTTACTCGCTACAGGGTGTACTTTGAGGGTTTGTGACTCTGCAGACCGTTTACATGCAGAACAACCTTCATAACACAAGGGGACGGGTGATAACCGGAAAAGCATGACATGGGACCTTTAAAGTAAATGTCAAAATAAATACACTTGTGTGTGTTCTCTAGCCATACTAGATATCTAAATACACAGAAAGCTGCAAAAAATATATAAATAAATCAGATCAGACGTTTAGGTGTACGAACGTGTTTGTAGATTTGACTTTTGAGCTGAACACACACATGTTGCACACACACACTTCTCAGTATGCATGTATTAAAGCCTCCTGCAGTCTCTCAGTGTGAACCCATTACCAGCAGCTCCTCAGGGTGAAGGCTGCAGTCACTAGGTGTTTCCATCCCTCACTGTCTTCGTTTCTCTCTGCTCTCTACACACACACACACACACACACACACACACACACACACACACACACACACACACACACACACACACACACACACACACACACACACACACAACACACACACACACACACACACACACACACACACACCCACCCACCGTGGTGACGTAAAGGTGGAGCATGAACCTGTAGCATGCATTTGGTTTGCCTCAGCACTCTCAGGAGTCTCTGTGTTTCCTTCATGACATTAAAATATGGACAAAATAATAAAAATAAATAATGATAATATTTAATACATTAAATTAATTATACAAATTATAATAAATACATTAAATATAATAATAATAATGTAATTATACAAATAATACATTATTTAAATGATGTTAAATACATTATATGATATAATAATAATAATAATAATAATATAATAATAATACATTCAATTGATTATTAAAATAATGATAATAAAAAAGTCAAAAAAGTGATTGATACATTAATGAAAATAACAAAAATGATAATATAATCTTAATTAAACACATTCAAATAATAATAATAATAATACATGAATGAATAATGACAACAGCAATAAAACACATAAAAGCAATTTAATAAAAGTGAGTTTAACCAGAAATATATTTTTATTTTATGAATGTATTTATATATGTCCTGCCAGCCAGTAATAAATACATTCTCCATAATGTATACCATTTCTGATTGGTTCTTGATTGTCTCTCTCCTCATGGTCAGATTCAAATTAAGTTAAAAATGAAGAGAGGTAATCACCAGCATTTCCAATTCCAACTCTCATTTCCAAAAGAATAATGTGTTATTCCTCATCGCTTGCATTATTCATCTGTAATATTATCCTGTGTATTAATGCATGCATGTATATAGATGTGTAATGTCTCAAGCCTTTTAATCCCTTTACAATCAGGCTGTACAGCTGCTGCAGCATGTTGGTTATACTCACATCTCAGTTGGAGATGTGCACTTACTTGCATGCAGAACACACACGTAAAAACATGCCTCGACACACACACACACACACACACACACACCCACCCACACACACACACACACACACACT